GTGTGACATTGCACATGTGTGAAAGCAATTCACAATTACCAACAGCAAGAATTTCAATAAAGTCAAAGCTTGATTATACTAAATGTGAATGGCATTATCAATAGCTTATGAAATTAAGTGACAAGTATCAGTACCAGAACACTGACAAATCGGAATGATTTCAAACCAGGAAGTAGCTACATGTAATATACCTACCTTTAAAAGATTCCTCAATTCCACAACTTCTTTAGGAAAGCCACTTCTACCAGAAGTTCTCCAACTTTGTCTACACTCCTTGATTCCAGCTCCTTCTTACCATGACCAAGAGCATCCATCTGCATATCTCTCGGTGTGGTATTCACGTGAAGGCCGGTGCACCCGGTTCCTAAACTTTCCGGGTCAATAATAGACCACTAAGACCTCGACTAAGACCAACAAGCGTAACAGTGTAAAAATATTCCTATACCACCTTGCAAGTACAACTGGGTTCTTATTAAGACTTATGAAGGTTCTCTCTACCTTCTAATGCTTCTAGAGAAGTCTTTATACAGTACCTCTATGTTCTTTCGCAGTTTCGCTGATAGAAAGCACAAAACTTCGTCCCGTGTGCAAGCCACCATTTTGTTTGTCATGACCACACCCACTTACGTAGCGTGGGCGGGTGGTTGCTAAGCCAAGGCTTGTTATATCTCCAATACAACATGTATAGAAGAAATGTAGGTGTCGACATACAAAAATTTTTATATCGCACGTGTGTGAAATCAATTATAGGATGCCCTGGGGGCTACGCCCCCAGGTTCTAAAAAGTTTGAAACTCTCCCGTCACTTGTGACCATGAAAGATCTGATTATAAATAGTTATCTGGTTATCAATAGTTAATTGACTGTCATGGCGACTTCAAGGAAGGAGCCTGTGAAATTGAGCCCTTTACTCCTGCTGTCATCTTGTAATAGGCAGTTCATTCATACAGGCAAGTAGATTGATCTTTAGTTGTATTGTTGTGGCAATTGCATGATGATGCATAGTGGGTTTATGGCGGCACTTGAAACCACTTTTCATTTTGTATTACTGCTGGGGGGGTTCTTGATATTTAGAGCTTTCTGAATGATTGAATCACACTGATTAATTAATTGCTTACATATGCCATTATAATTGTTGTTGCTTTCATCACAATTTTGTACATTATAGAATAAGGTTCGACTGTGCACTATGATAAGATTCATCATGCTTATTTACTATAATAGTATGATGTACAATAATTATTCCTTAAAGCTGGCATGTTGTAATATTATGAGGTTTATAACACGCAGCTTCCCAATACATGTATTTATTGCTAATAGGTACGTTCTCAATTTTGCGTCCATTAATCTGTGTCTCCTGTCGTCCCTCTTCTTGTATTTCTCTCCTCCTGATGCTAACACAGGCTTGGTGTCAGTAAGCAAGTGTAAAATGTCTGCATATTATGCATGTATATTAATATATGCATGAACACTGTTATTATTTTTTACTAGACGAATGTAAAACATTAAGGGGGCGAGTTTGAGCAAGCAAAGCAATGTACATACCATGTAGCTACATTGTGTATCAGGACACAATGCACACTACAGTCCATGTACATGTATGTTCATTAAAGGGGAGAGAGGGAGAAAGAATGGGGTGTCAGTCTTTTTGGTCAGTAATTTGATGTATCAGTCATTGTGTAGGAGATTGTCACCAGTACTCTACAGATGATGAAGAAAGCATGACAATGTCCAATTAGAACAAGTAAGTGTTTAAAGATTGACATCACTATGTATAATTAATCATCTCTTTCTGTCTCTCTTAGTACAACGAATTTATCATCAAGAAAGACTGCAGCATTCGATATGGATCGATATGTGTAGTGTTGATACGTTGCTAGCTAGGCTACAAAATTGCCCCGCCCATTGCAACCCTCCTCTGGCTTCTCCTCCAGGCTCAAGCTTGGTCAATATTGTGATGTGCAAGGTGAAGTACTTGTCTCTGGTATAGCCTTTAATGAAACATTCTTTCATGCACTGGTGAAAGTCTGATGCAGTGCAACTGGAAGGAAGCATTTATTGCATTATTATTAATATAATATTGAGCAATAATTTTTGAACCATTATAATTCTTAATATTGAGCAATAATTTTTGAACCATTATAATTTTTAATATTGAGCAATAATTTTTGTACCATTACAATTAGTAATATTGAACAATAATTTTTGAACCATTACAATTACTAAGTATTGTCGTGTGTGTAAAGTATTATATATCTCTCTGATTAACTCTCCTCCTTTTGCTCTTCTTTTCCTCTTCATGATCCTCTTCATCTTCCTCTTCGTCATCCTCCTCATGAACGAAATCTTGACTTCCTTCCTCTTTTTTTGACTTTCCTCCTCTTCTTGAATTTCTTCCTTTTCTTGACATTTCTTCCTTTTCTTCCTCTGCTTGAATTTCTTCCTCTTCTTCAATTTCTTCCTCTTCAATTTCTTCCTCTTCAATTTCTTCCTCTTCTTCAATTTCTTCCTCTTCAATTTCTTCTTCTTCTTCAATTTCTTCCTCTTCTTCAATTTCTTCCTCTTCTTCAATTTCTTTCTCTTCTTCAATTTTTTTCTTTGCTTGAATTCCTTCCTCTGCCTGAATTCCTTTCTCTGCTTGAATTCCTTTCTCTGCTTGAATTCCTTCCTCTTCAATTTCTTCCTGAAGTTCCCTGGTATCTTCCAAAAGAAAGGTTCTAACAATGAGGCACAGGCGTGAGGCAGTCATAGTAAAGTTTCCAAAATCTGTTCCAAAAATATGAGCAGTACTGCCATCATCATTTTCTGCATTGATTAGAGGCAGTTTTAAAATGATACCTAGAGCTCCACAAGATCTAGTGAGATATAGGCCTCGAGAATTGTACGAATCACGTACAGCTACATTATTGAGGAAATTTTTTACAATTTTAAATTGTATCGACAAATACATTCCAGCTATGAGCTCCCCTAATTTGTCTGGATGCATCGATTGCCTTTCCGCTTGTAATTTTGCTTCAATAGAATCATTTTCTGACGAAAAATCAAGCTCTTCTTGACTGTCAGTTTTGATCAGTCGATTCACTTTTTTTATGACATCAGGGGTGCCTCTAAAATAATAAATTGTGAAATATGATGAATTCAGCCCGCTATATCTACTCTGGTGATAATCGAATGATAGCCCTCTCTCAGCAGTGTAATCGAAATCCTTTGCGAAATAAAATGTGTTCAGTGAATTGGCAAGTCTTCGTGTCCAAACATTTTCAGAGAACTGGTGGCCAGTGCCAAAGAACTTATCTGGCACAAAGAAAGGTGACTCAGTTGGGCATGGTGTTAGGTTACTATGATCGCGGAAAGTCTGGTGATCTTTAAATTCTTCTTCATATAACAAATTATCATTATCATGTAGATAAGGTAAAAAAGTATAGCAGAAATTACATGAGTGTGGGACGTCCAATTTTCCCATTTTAAAGTCACTTGGAATTGCAGTTTCAAAATCCTTCAATGTCATACTGGAACAACTGGCATGATTTTTATGCTCAAAAATAAAAAGTTTAGCACCGACACTGACAATTAAAACGATAACTTTTGTAAGAGTATGGTTTCTCTGTTTTCATCACTGCAGTTAACTTTGCTAAATCTCCTGACATTAGCTTTGCCATTCTATGCTTTTTTGGCAGTGTGTAAGACTTCATTCCTGGAGCAACATAGACTTTATGATAAAAGACAGCTTGTAATCCAAGATAGAGAAGGAAGCTGTTAGGTTGCTGGAGAGGAACCTATAGTTATAAGGTGGAAATAATTTGTTAGTCTGGGTATTTTGGAATTGAGATGATACAATGGGTGTGGTGTCTCAAATGACATTACTGAACTAAAATATTGATTGCTACTTCAAAATAAGTAGACTGGAATGTATACCTTGTCAAAGGAAGTAAACTTTTCAAAGTAACAAGTACAGTACTTTTTTAAACTCAAAATTAATTTTAGCTAATGTTTATTAGACTAAATATTATGAGGAAAATTATCAAAAAATTAAACATAGTCTGCACCCAATTATGGAAACAAATTTATTTAATCCAACACTAGTAATGTTTCGGGCTTAAGGTCAATTTTTGCTTGCAGAATGCAACAAATTTAATACTTTCTGTCTAAATTTACCTTATTCCTTTCTAACTGTAATTTCAGGTTTCTTTTGCTAGGGCAATGATCTTTCAAAGTATTATCAGTAGTCATTGTGATGGTGACAGCCTGAATAAGAGAGAGAAAGAGTGATGATATATACAAATGTACACATGTATATATGCCTGTCGACACATGGCAAGTAGTGACGTTTTTGCAGGCCCAATGGTTTGATGAGGGCCACTACAATTTACAAAAGGGACCAACAGAGTGACAAAAAACTATTTTAGGAAAAATTCTGAACGCTCAGAATATTTGGTCTAATGATAGCAAGCTTCACAGTAATGTAATATATATCAGATGAATCATTGGGGTAGTCGTGTCTGGAATACAGTCAATGAGATGACCTATGAACAAAATGCAATGTCGCAACTTATCATTCTAGCAAAGACTAGATCCTTAAGTGTTTTTTCTGCCTTAATCAAAACAAGTGTTGTTCCAGTGCCTTGGTAAGGAACTAAAAATGGAGTACTAGTACCTGTACTATGATTATATAAGGCAGTGGGAACTGGAACTAGTACTGCAATGTAATTATAAAAACTAAAGGGTACTGGAACTAGTACTGAGTGTAATTGTAAAATCTAAACGGTACTGGAACTAGTACTGTACCGTAAATTCAGACATGGGGTGAAGTAACTTGGTACTTGTACTTAAGTATCCATGTGTATTTTAGCATGTACTTGTAGTTATACTTAATTACTTGTGTTAGGTATTTACAGTACTTATGTACTTAAAGTACATTGAAGTACATTTATAAATACTATCAGTATAGCAATCAGAACTAACAGTTTTCAGGTGTTAAATATAGTGTTACCACAGGTGCAGTTTTAGTAAGCATATTTTCAAAATGGCTACTACTAAGTATCCCAGTTGTACTTAAACACTTTCAAGTACCAGATGACTTGCCCACTGGAGACTTCAAAGTTAAGTGTAGATACTGTCCTAAGGAGATCGCTGGTTCAGTTAAGAGTACCACTAACGGGTGGAAACATTTGGTGAGATAATTACAATACTCTGTTGGTACCATTATTCACTTATATGCTGCAAAATATATAGAGACGTGCTCATAAGCATGAATTTGATCTAATGATAAACAGGAGACTTTAAGTCATTTGATACATACTGACAAAAAGGATGATTCAAAGCACCCAAAGCAGGTACTTGTTACCGAGGAGTTAGTAAGCTTCATACTTATGCCTTTGACATTAGTGGAAAGTAAACACTTCAAAATATTCATTAATAGATTGGATCCTCCCTATCAACTGCCGAGCAGAAAGCACTTTTCCACAAGAAAAAGTATGATGAAGTGAGATTAATGGT